TGAACAAGAAGGATCTGAAGCTGAAACTCATCCAGTGGATATTTCTATTGCATGATTTTAATTTAGAGATCCGAGATGAAAATGAGAGCAAGAATGTAGTTGCATATCTAGCCTAGAATTACAAAAATCGGATCCTACAGATGAGAATGAGGTACTCTCAAATGTGATGTTTTTTCAGATTGGGACAGTACCATGGTATGCAGATTATGTGAATTACTTGGTCGGCTCTATCATTCCACCAGAACATTCTAGTCATGAGAATAATAAATTCTTAAGTGACCTCAAGAACTACTTTGGGGATGGCCTGTTTCTCTAAAGATAGGTTTCAGATCAGATAATTCATCAATGTGTATTAGAAGAAGAGCTAAATAATTTGTTGGAGCACTATCATTTTTCTCTATATGAAGGTTACTTTTTAACAACCAAAACAGCAGCAAAAGTTCTATAGTCAGGTTTTTATTAGCCTACGCTATTCCGGGATGCATATGCTTTGGTAAAGACATGTGATAAGTGCCAGAGGATAGAAAATATCTTAAGGATGAGCGAGATGCTTTTGAACAGTATTTTAAAAGTAGAATTATTCGATGTTTGGGACATTGACTTTATGGAACCCTTTATCTCTTCATATGGTCAGCAGTATATTTTGGTAGCTGTAGATTATGCGTCAAAATGAGTTGAGGCAGTAGTTTTGCCAACTAATGATGGATAGGTTGTGACTTAGTTCCTGAGAAAGAACATATTCTCAAGGTAAGGCACCATGTGGACAATTATTAGTGATAGATAGAAGCATTTTTGCAACTGCCAATTTTCAACGTTGTTGGCTAAGTATAGAGTTAAGCATCGTAACTTGACTCCTATCATTCTCAGACTAGTGGGTAGGTAGAAATTTCCAACAGAAGTTGAAAATGATTCTTGAAGCAATAGTGAAGAGATGTGCCTATTAATTGGTCAAAAAGCTACATAATGCACTTTGGGCGCACAGAACACCTTTCAAGACTCCTATTAACATCTCCCTATATCGGTTGGTTTTTTGGCAAGCCATGTCACTTGCTCGTTGAGCTTGAGAAAAAGGCATATTGGGCTATACACAAGCTAAATTTTGATATAGAGTCAGCCGGGAAGAATATAATCCTTCAACTCATTGATCTCGATGAATTAGGATTAGGGGAAAATAAGAATGCCAAGCTATATACAGAAAAGACCAAGACAGACACATCAAAGAAAAAGAGTTTGAGGTTGATCAACAAGTTCACACGTTCAGTTCTCTCATCAAATTCTTTCCAAGCAACTTGAGGTCAAGGTGGTCGGGTCCATTCATCGTTGTAGCTGTATATCGACATGGCACAGTGGATATGGTGTCTCGAGATCATCTACTTAGATTTAAGGTCAATGTGCAAGTTTTGAAAACTTATTGGGAAGGTGATTGCTCCAATGAGAAGACAATTGTACCACTTGATAGTGTAGAATATCCTAAGCATCAAAATCGAGCTATAAACTATAAACAAGTGCTCATTAGAAGGCAACCAAATTCTCCATCCTTATACTTATTCTGCTTTATGCATTAGAGTAGGATTTCTCATGTTTTGTGTATTAGGATAGTTAGGCGTCGTCATCCATCACTTAGGTAGTAATAGTCATACATGTGTTCATATAGGTTTCAAATGTTTTTTGCATGCATTTCGAGGTGTTAAAATCACACTTAGGTAATTTTAAGTAGAATTGTGTGTTTAGAGATAGAAAACGGGGTTTTTAAAGCTACATTAGACCAAAAACATGTTTTCAATGGTAAGATTGAGTTTTAAAAAAATTTCATGTTTTATATTCATTCTATACATATTAAACACTTGGCACAAAAATCGAGACTTAGGATAGTTAAGAGGGTCCGAAAGCTCATATTTTAGCTGCATCAGAAAATAACCCCTGTTGATAACCTATATGCGCGCATGGGCAATCATACCAATCGCACGAGGGTGGTGAATGGCCTCACTTGAGGCTATTTTCTCCTCTCTATGTGCATGCGCTGGCCGATAGCCATGTGTACGCCTCGATTGACGGGTTGAGGGTTTTTAACCGTCAACCTGACAACATATACATACACCCTACACATGTCATAAGCAAAAATTCTGAGCCCTATCCCCCTCTTCTCTCCAAAAAATGCTAACTTTACACAAATTTCTTTACAAACCTCACATTTTTCATTTGGGTTTTCAAATTTTAGCACATCATAACAAATTTCAACAAGGATCTCATACTTCATTCCATTCAATTTCAAGAAAATCAAGGTAACTTTGCTCACTTTGGTAAAATTCAATATTTTTCGTTGGTTACTTGATTTTTTCACTCATGGTATAATTTCTCAAAGATAATGGAGATTGGATTTAGGTAGTTGTTCGATTTTGTGTTTGCATGAGATTTTGTGGTTTAAACACTTTAGGTTAATATTTGGACCACATTCCAGGTATATGCCTACTAGGTGTTTGAGGAAATGCTTATGTGAAGTTGTTGGTTGAATTAGTGCACTAATTCACACAACACATTGTTTTTACATAAATTAACACTCTTAGGTGATTATTTTCACATTGTCATGGGTTTTGCATGAAAATTTGGGGGGACGCAATGTATAGCTCATGTCCCGGCATCCAGTTGCATCCTCCCGCATTCACATCCGACGTTCCCTCGTGTTTCAACAGTATGGCCCCTACGTCCAGCACTTTTATCCCTATCTATTGTGCTATATGTAGATTATTTAGGGTCTATTCATTGCACACTTTAGACTAATGATTGTTTTTCTTCTTGTTTAATAGAAATGATACCAAAAAGGAAGAACGCATGATTGAGCTCTTTAGCCGGAGAGGCAAGTGATACTTGAGGATTTTGAAAGATTTGAGATATAACATCTTATACATAGAGCCGGGTGGAGGCAGGTGATAATGAAGCCGCGTGCGATCTTTGCCACCTTAGTTCAAGAATTTTACACAAACTTTAACGCCAACATCGACACTCTTCGCGTGGAACATGCCACATTATACTTGGGTGTGAGACAAGTGGATTTTGTTTTCTCCAGAGGTCATTGATGAATAATATGGACAGATTTCGGACAACACTGTCTCATTACCCTTGAAGGTTGTATGGGAGTTAAGGGTAGTTATAGAGAGTTATATGTTTAAATTTTAAGTTCAAGCATTGTGTCCAACCTTTTTAATATCTTGTGGGTTGGGGTCATCCCACATGGGCATTCCATGACCCATATTTTCTAACATCTTCCACTTGCACATAATGGGATTAACTCGAACCACAAGTGACAACGAATATCACTCGTTAGATATTTCTAAAGGTCTACCTCACAAAGATTTATATGATAAATAAATCGTGCAACCAGTGAGTACTTACTAGAGCCCACGAGTAATAATCCAGTTAGCGATATATATTAACTCTATTAGAGGAACATTACACCTCGCTATATCCCAAACTCATTTTCCAACATTAGTTCAATTATTTTCGATCTCTCGAATATTTATGGAACATTTATGGAACATACTTGAACCCCACATTGTATCATTATATTCATAATTATGTTCTATACTTTAAATGGTTAAACACAATTGTCTGATCGGTGTATACAAATATAAATATTGGTCAAAATAGTTTTCTTTTCCTACTTGAATCCTTCAACTTTAAATAAGTTGTTTTCCTAGACATATCCCATCAAACTGAATCAATCATGGTCATTGGCAACATGCTAAAGTAGCAACATTGAAATAAAATATCAAAAAACAGTCAAAAATCATAAGGATATATATGAGGTTATATAAACCTCAAGATCTCACACAATAAGAAAGCAATGATTCATTCACTCATTTACCCAATATTGGTCGTAAAAGCACACGTAATATGAAACATATGATATGATGTTTTCTCCCTTTTTAGGGTGTAATTCATATTCTTTATAAGCAAATTACTCCGTACAAATCCTACTTCTAGTATTTCTTGATACTTAACTTGTGTTCTTCTTATATTCATTTCTCCAGGCAATCTCAAATCGAGAACTTGATCCGGGTACTAAACAGGTTTAATGGATATCAAAATCCATTTCGATTATTTATTGTAATCTCATCTTGATATCTTATTAAGATGACGAGATCATGTACATAACATGATCACTTTATCTCATCTCATCTCATCGCATTCCAAAGTGTCTGAGGCGATTGTTTGTGTAAATGAACCAATCTTAGTCCGTTCAACATACTTTATACGTGTATGCATATTATTATCTTGTAATCCCAACAATGGATTGCACATGAATTCAAAATTGTTCATCTATGGGTACACAAAACCCACTCCCGAAAAACCAAAATTTACCCATCTTCTTCTTCCATCTAAACTGAAATTCAAATAATTTCACTCCCAAAAAACTGAAATTTAAAAAAAAAAAAATGTAAAATTTAAACTTACGTCTTCTTCTTCCATCTAATTCAACTTGAAATTGAAGGTTTATTAAAAAAAAAAAAAAAACGTAAATTTTAAACTTACATCTTCTTCCATCTAATTCAACTTGAAATTGAAGGTTTGGATTCTTGGGAGTGAAATTGCAAGAGATGGCTAAGACTCTGCTACGGGCTAGGGATTCGAATGTGCGTACGTGAGTTTGAGAGAATAAAGATTCAAAGATAATGAGTTCTGGGTTTTTATATATGGGATATGAATCGGGGCAGTTTTTTCACATTTGGGCCAACGGTTTTTCCATTAACCGGCGGTTCCTTTTGGTTTTACATGGGCTATATGCACAGTTAAAATTGGATGACGTTCGGACCGGACCACGATCCGGTTCGACGGTTTCTGGATCGAACCGGCCGATCCGGTCCGGTCCGGGTTTGATATCACTGTCCTGGGTAGTGTAGAGGAGTAGGCACACCGCGAATTCTCAGATATAAACGACGTGTTAGGGCTCTTTATATCTCTCGACTCTACAATCCCTCCCTTTGGATTACGTTCAATTCTCAATGGCTACTCCCACCATCGTCGATCCACCACCACTAACGGCGGACAACACCCCCACCACCACCGTCATACCGCCACCACCTCAACAACCCGAAGATACCTCGCCTGTCGCCAATAATACCTCAGAAACCCATCCACAATCCCTGGAATTACAACCACAGCCACCGTCTCTACAATTTCTCGATTCAATCACTGAACTGAAAAACCTTTCCGGCGCCCTTGCTGCCTTCCACCAATGCTATGATGATCTACACAATCACCTCGATTCCATCGAGGCAGCCATTTTGTCGAAATTAACCCCGGAAAAACTAGATATTACAACAGTTCCCCTCTCTTCATCACCGTGCAAGGAATTGGCTCTTGTTTCCGAGGAAAAAGAATTCCCAAAACAAGAGCCACCGCAACCCAAAAAATCTGAGCTTGAAAGCCTCTTTAAAATGATGTGCAGCGGCGACCTCCGAAGATACTTGGCTTCAAACCTCAATGACCTTCCCAAGCTTCGCGAAGAAGTGCCAAAGGCTATGAAACTCGCAATGAATCCTGCGAAATTAGTTCTGGAATGTTTTGGGAAGTTCTTTTTGCAGGGTAGTAAGGCATATGTTAAGGATTCGCCAATGATTCCAGCTCGAGAAGCATCAGTTTTTATGTTGGAGTGCTTTTTGTTGATGATGGGGATGAATGAAACTGATGGAGTTGGTAGTGGGGTTGTGAAGATTGAAAAAGAGGTGAAGGAGGAGGCAGAAAATTCGGCTGTGGCGTGGCGGAAGAGGTTGGTGGTTGAAGGGGGTCTCCACAAGGCATGTGATATCGATGCACGTGGTCTTTTTCTGTTTGTCTCGTGTTTTGGGATCCCTGTATCGTTTAAGAAAGAGGATATTCGAGATTTGCTGAGGGCGAGTAACACAAAGGAGATCTTGGGTATTCTGCAAAGGTCCAGCGTGCTAATGAACAAACTTTCAGGTGGTACCTTTTCACTAATGAATATTAAAGCATGGAGTCTTCAGTATTTATTATGTGATGCATGTTGTTTGCTATTCCTGTGCGAAACCTGTTGATTGTTTTTGGGTTGTTGCATATGATTTCATGGAGAACTTGTACATTTTTGCTGAATTGTGTTTGTGATTAGCTATCAACGTCTTTTAGTCCCATCTCATATAGAATTATCAGTGCAAATTGGAGTTGGAGAAAAAAAATTATGAAGCATAAGCACATTAGTGGACCAAAATTATGTTTACATATGTAGCTGAATGATGGGGCTGTGAATGAGATAGTTATATGCCGAGTAGGATTTCTGGATTCTCAAGGTACATAATGCCAAGTAAATCTTCGGCATTCTGTGGTAGATGAGTATGCTAATGCCTGATGGATGATATTGAAGGCACGATATGCCACGTGTTATATATTGTGTGATGTTTTCTTGCTTGTGTGATAAAAATGTTTGTCAAATACCATGAGATTGTCATTTTTTATTTTCAAAAAAGTTTATTGTTTCCTTTTCACGGGATTGCCTTTTGTATGGCACATTTGAGTTGACTTATTTCAGGGCTTGTATTATAAGAAACTTGATTTATATATAGGGAAAAAATGGAGATGGGATAAGAAAATGATATTTTCTGTACAAGTGGAATGGAGGTAATGAAATAATGTGAATGTATATAACCAATTTAACTGGTAAGGAGGATGAAGAAGACTTGGAATTAAGCAATTTGGGGTTAGCATATGTTAGGTACTTAGGTTTGTGTTTTCAGGACACGGAATTAAACTACAACAGAGGACTGAAAATGGAAATAGGAGAGGCAATTTGCTGTGGTACAGGCTTGGAATAAAAAAGTATATAGATGTCTACTAGCATTCTGAGCATGGAAAGCAACATCAATGCATTTGTTCAAGACAATTTACAAGGCTGTGATATGGTCAAAGTTGTTTGGCATGCTATACATCGTAAAATTGGCATCTGCGGTACTTTATTCTATATTCTGATGAGTATCAGGAAGAGTGTTGCTTTATATTGGAAAGAAACTTTTTTTACAAGTTGCACAAAGAACTGAATTTCATTGACCTCCTGAATGGATGTTCCGCATAGCTGTATGTGCCTAATGTTCCATCTGAGCATTTGCCTTTCTGAGGTTTTATATATTGAGGCCACTATGTGATAACTGTGACTAGCTTAGGATTGGTGACATAGGACAACCTTGAGGCTATTCTATTCTCTCTCTATTTAGAACGGATAGCAATTTAGAGTTAAAAATCTCAGTTGGCTTTTTACGCTCATAATGAATGTACTTAACTTGCAGAATATTAATTAAAGAAAGAAAGAAAGAAAGAGGAGAAAAAGAAACTTTAGGCCTCGCCATGGAGTTGAATTGCATCACACAACTCCAGCAAAGCCAACTGTTGAAATTCTAAATATATCTTTCTGACTATAAAGTTAGAAGCACTATATGAGTCTATATAGACTCAAAACCACAATCTATGCAGGCTTTTAATTATAACTTCGAAACTTATTAACTAATAATATTGATTTCAAACTAGAAAGATATTGACTGTCATGTATATAATAGGAATTCATTTTTTTCTTAACACCACAGCACTTTCACACTGTCATGCAATAAAAAGAATATCTTTAATCTTTTTCTATAATACATTTTATCAATCTCCGATAAAGGTTGGACTTCCATAATGATTTCCTTGGAATGAAATCAAATTGGTTATCTGATGCCTTCGAATTAACACCTTAGCTTATTCTCAATGAACAGCTCCCATAATTTCATAGTATGATTTATGAGCTTAATACCTTGATAGTTTGTACATCATAATGTCTTATTGCTATGAAATAATTTTCTTGTTTCATCCTAAACACCTTAACTTGGTTTAGATCAATGAATCCCATTTCCATTTGCCAAGATAACTCACTTCTCAAAAGTGTGTCGTTTCTATAGCATTTTCATTTAGCCTTGAAATATAAGAAACGCTCAATACGCAATATCAATCAATGGAAAAACGTAATGTGTCATATTAATCTTCTTATCTTCACTACTAAATTTTCTTGTTAGGTAAGGTTCTACCTTTACTTTCCTTAGTTAGTGTCACGCATTCCAATTTCCGACCTTATTTATGTTTTATTGAACCAATTTTATTTTTTTTAGTACCAGTTTCTATCTATTAAATTATGGGAACTCATATTTCTGTGCTGCATATTTCCACTACTAAATTTTCTTGTTATGTAAGCTTCTACCTATACTTTCCTTATTTAGTGTCATGCATTCCAAATTTTGACCTTATATATGTTATGTTGAACCCCCCCTTTTTTTTTACCAATTTCTATATATTAAATTATGGGAACTTATATTTCTGTCTTCATATTTATCCCCTGTTTGTCTCCTAATTTTTCGAAACTCTTTTTTTTAAGTACTCATTTTCAACCACACATTCATACAATAGAATATTAGACACGTAAATCAAAAACTTTTCTCTACCTTTTAGGCACACATTCTCCAAAAAAAAATCACTATTTAAAACAATATTTTCTAAAAAAATGGCCACCAAACAGGGGCTTATTATACTCTAGCTTATTATTGCCCAATTT